ACAGAGAGATGCTCCCAGTTTGGAAGTGAGAGCTGGAGGGAAGACCTGGGAAGGCCAGTCTCTGGTCCATGTACACCTTCTCAAAGAAACTTAGCACCGAGACTAACATTCTTGGGAAACCAACCTGCAAGTGTTGTCCTCCACTGACAGAAAAACCAAAATGTTGCTGCTCCACTGAGGACTGAACAAGAAGCCATGAAATCCCTGACTGCAGGAGACTTGGAAGACTGCCTTCTGGCTAAGGTAAGGACAGGTGCGGTCTCTCCCATGCCCCCCGCCCCCACCCCTTCTGTCCCACCAACCTGAATTCAGAAGAGAAGTCAGGCTGCTTTCAAAGATCCATGAAGTGGTCCTCAGGAACCCAAGACCATCACCCATAAGAGTGTTTAGGGCTTACCTTATCTCTGTCCTCTCTCTGAGGTTGTAGTGCCAGAGGCCATTGGGTACAGAGTGTGGAACAGAAAGTTAGAACATGGGTTGGAACTCCAGCTCTGTAGCTGAACCTGGCATAGTCATGAGCAAGGCCCCGAACCTCAGCTTTCTTATCTGTCGAATGGGGGTCATTGAAATAATAGGGTCATTAAAAAAGAGTAAATGAAATTAAGAACACCTTTTGGAAACTATAAAACTGCTATATTTAAAAATATATAGCATATTTTTAGTACATACTCTTTAAGAGTTAATTGACATTCTTCTAGACTCTTAGACTGTTAGAACTGGAAGGGACCTTAAATATTATCTGACTTAATTCAGCCTTTCCATTTACTAATGAAGTTTTTAAGGCACAGAGCCACCAGTAAAGCTAAAGCACTTAAACTAAGATTAGGGACTGGTCTAAAATTACGGACATGCCTTCACAAGTAAACAAAGCAGAGTTCATTATCACAGTGATAAGTAAAGTTGATTTCTTAGGTAAACCACTTACATGAATAGGGGAAACGTGAGATGATAAAAATTACACCCAACAAAGTAATTTCCCATTGTTTTCCCTTTTGGGGACTCTTTTAAGTGGAAGGGGAGCTGGCATTTTCCCATAGTCCTGTGTTTTCTGGAAAAAGTCCAAGTTTTTTTAGCCTGGCATCCAAGTAACACTGTATCTTTCCACGCTGTTTCCCAGCATCTCCAATAGCAGAAATTCTCAACAGTGCTCTATACATTGATTCCAGCCTGCGCACAGGTTTTCTTTGGCCTGTAGAGTATTGTTAAATTTTTTTCAAATTTGTTACAAACGTTTCATAATAGCGGGATTTTGCATAGAAACTGAGATTTCCATCTTCTCCAGAAAAAGGAAAACATCAGGTTATCTGGCAACCACAGGTCCCAGTTTCTTGCCTGGTAACTGTGGGCTTGAGTGTGGGTTGAGTGTCAGTCCAACAGAGCATGTGCTTGAGGCTTCTTGGGGAGGGGGGGCGGGCTGTGGCATTCCTACGCCCCCCTCAGCCCTCCTTCTCAGGTGCATCCCCCTTCTGTCCCCAAAGGTAGTCAGTCTGTTAATCCTGTCCACAGATACTGTGCCCTGAGAAGGTCTAAGCCCGAGCTTCCCCTCTCTCCTCTGCCAGGGGAGACATCCTCTCTCCTCTCCATTTCCATTTCTCTGGCTCATATTCATCCTTCAGACTCCACTCAGAGCCAACCTTAGCTCGAAAGATTTCTTTGACACCCTAGCACAGAATGTTTTGGTTTCCCTGTGAACTGGTCGTAATTATTACTGACAATATTTATTTGGCAATCAGTTGTATATTGATTGACTCTTGACACCTTTCCTGTTACTCTCTTGGGTGGACACATAAATATTATCTCCTTTTACTGTTTATGAGTTTCTGGAGGGGGTGGTAGTGTCTTGGATATCTTCATTCCCCTTGATGTTCACACAGTATCTTTGCACATACATGGTCAGAATAGCTTTAGGATTCAGTGAAGCTAATACAAGAATAGTGTAAAAGGTACTGGCAGGTTGAGGCCCAGGCAGTATCTCATTGGACCTATCATCCACTATGTGACACGTGCACATACCCCCAAAAACTTGTCCAAGGTGACACAGCTAGATAGTGAGAGTGCTGAGGTATCAGTAAGAAAATTCTGTTTTACTCCAAAGCCATATTTGCTCTGTTAAATCCCTCTGTATCTCCACAAACACACACTGAGCACCTGCTGTGTGCAAAACACCATGCCCTAAACCCAGGTCCAGGATGTGGTCTGTGAACTGAGAGGGAAAGTGTGTCTGGAATATCTTTAAGGATGGCCCTCTCCTGCCTGCAGATTTCGCACAGAACTGCAAGTATAAAAGGAGGCTGTTCTTGTGCAGACAGGGAAATGCTTGGTACAGTACATGGCTGACCACAGGGCTACACCGAGATTTCCACAGGGTGCTGGAGGAGAACCAAGGAGTGTTGGCTCTCTGCGGGAGACGTGGCCCAGCAAGAGGAGTGGAGACTAAGCCTGAGAGCACGCATTGGGTTTTAAGTGGAGGAGAAACAGAGAGGCCTTTCTGGATGAGGGAACCCCATTCAAGCAGTCAGTGTGGGTTTCAGGCCCCGCAGTTTGTCCCTGGGGAGGCTGAGCAGTGCAGTGGTTACGAATGTGGGCTGCCAGGTGTGACAGTGCGCAGCGTGGATCACTGTTCCGGGAATTAAACTGTCTCAGGCGGGACCCAGCGCAAATTCCTTACACACTCTGAACTTGGTATTTCGTCCTCTGTAAAATGGGGATAATCCTAGCAGCCACCTTCCAGGATTGTGGGGTAGCTCCAGGGGGCTAGCTCTCAGGGAGGGTCTCGTACACGGGAGGGTCTCCCGTCCCTGCTCTGTGGTTCTGGTGTTGGTCTGGTTTTTGCACAATGTATGGAACCTGTAGGGCCCCAACATGTTGCTCGGGGAAGAATGGGTCTGAGAAAACGGGGATATGATGGTGCAGGGCCTCATTTCATCTGGAGATAGCACCTTCCATCTCCATCCTTTCAGACTTTTCTTCCAATTTTAGTATACGTACTAGACTTTTCCATCATTAACCCAGGAAGACAGAGATGGTGCTCGTCCTGCTTTTTTTATTTTTGTTTTTGTTTTTAAAGATCCTGTTTATTGGATTTAATGCAGCTCCAGAATTAAAATGTCTGGCAGGAAGTTCTCAGCCTTTTATCCCCAGGGGCACTCACAGTGGGTGACAGTGACACAGGCCACATGCTCACGTGGCCAGACCTGTGTGACATTCCTGGCATGCTGCTTAGTGTTGCCTCTCTGCCTGTCTCAAGAAAGCGTGTTGGAATGCAAGTGAGTCAGAATGCTGTTAGGATAGGCAATACCCTTGAATTCTCACTCATTTATATTTGAAACAGTAAATTGTTCCTCACTCGAGCTATTAATAGTAGCAGATGATGTGTGGGGCAACAGTGGGCCAGACACTGGGCTGGGGGTGTGTACGTGTGTGGGGGCAGGTACACAGAAACCGCAGGGCATCCTTCAAGGGGGCCTCTCATGACTCTTCTTACGGAAACTCTGCTTCATTAGAATTCCCGAATCTGCTGGCTAACAGGTGTGGCGTAACTTTCTGGGGTCAGTGGGATGGAGGGGAGGCTGAGAGGGTAACCGAGTCTGTGTCATGGGCCCGGCTAATTTCACCCACTTCATTTCTGCTCATGCTCTGTCCCACCCACAAATGCAGCCTTTTAAAAAGAAAAGCACACCTTTTTTCACTGAACTAATCCCTGGGGGAGGCGAGTGAAACTCAGGCCCGCACTGAGGTCACGTTTGAACTGCACGTGACTTGATTCCTTCTTCTGAAATGACCATGTGTTTCCAAGCTGCGCTGTGGAATGGGTCTGGTGATGGGGCCCCCTCAAGGCTGCACCTGGTATCTCCCTGAAGTTGGACCCACTTGAAAGGGCTTCTGGGCTCTGGCCGGTGACAGGTCTCTGTGGTGGCACCTCCTTCTTCCCCCAAGATCAGTCCCCGTAGAGCCACCTCGGGCCCCATTCCCTGCTTTTCCACACCCTGAAATGGAATCTTCTTGCTCCACCTATGAGGCTGTGGTCCTAAGGAGCGAGGGAAACTGCCTGGGGTATCTGGGTTGTGAGTGACACCAAGAGAGTGACAAATGGTCTGTGGGATGGAGCATGGGAAGCCTTCAGCCTAAGTCCCTCTGGGGCTGCTGAAGGGTGTGGTCCGTAGAGGTGCAGAGGGAAGAACCTAGGGCAGGAAGTGGAGCCAGGGGCGCGACCCATCACCACCTGCAGGGAAAAGGCTGCTGCCTGACTTGGGGGGCTTGAGCACTGGGTGGGAGAGTGGGGGAGGGAGGCCTGTCAGAAGCAGGGCTCTTCCCCACAGCCCTGGTGGAACCCCACACTCAGGACCCTGCTGTGCTGCCCTGGGGTGCCTGTGGGTGTCAGAACAGTCAGTGATGCCCAAAGAAATGGAGACTTTGGATCTGTTACTTCATGAGCCTTGACTTCAGTTCAAATGGAGGGCATGGTTAGGTTCAGGAAGAGGCTAAAGGTAGGTATGACTGTGGGAACGTCCACTCGGAGGTAAGGCACAGAGGGACAGAAAGAGCAGTGAGGGACCCTGGGCTTAGGACCAGTCCTGCTGCCAACTGCCAATGTGACATTAGGAGAGCCACCCATCACTGTGGACTCCTATACGTTGACACCAGACAAGGTGATTTCTGAGGTCTCTTCCAGTTCTAAGATACCAAGTCAAAACGGTGGCAGCAGTAATGGAAGAAGGAAATCAAAACCAGAGTATGTGGCTCTAGGCTCTAGAGCCTACTCTGATTTTTACTTTCAGAAATCGAAACAGGTCATAAAGATGTATAATGAATGAGAGAATATAGGTGTCTTCCAGGGAGTGTGTGAACTGCCTCATTCTGCCCAGTAAGAAAATTCCACCATCCAGTGAGGGCAGAATTTGTAGAAGAGATTCACAGTGGAGAACTTTGTCCAATAGACCACTCATTGTGTGTGTGTTTATGTGCATGCACACACACACACACTTTGTCTCTCAAGCTTTAATCAGTTAAAAATCATTTGACAGTGTCAGGGTGCCTGGGTGGCTCGGAGGGGTAAGCATCTAACTCTTGATTTTGGCTCAGGTCATGATCTCAGGGTCCTGAGATCAAGCCCTGCATTGGGCCCTGTGCCGAGTGTGGAGCCTGCTTCAGGTTCTCTCCCTCCACCTCTCTTCTCCTGCTTATTCTCTCTCTCTCAAAAAAAAATTATTTGACAATGTCAATATGGTGATGAATCTTTCATTAGTTTATCAACTCAGGAAATAAAATATACTTGCACGTACAGAGTTAACCACTATGTTGCTGACATTTGAGTTCTATGAACTCCCATCAGTGGACTTGGAGGATTTGTGGCTGAGCCTTAGTCCTCAACACAGTCTACGGAATTAGGTATTTGAGAAGACTATTTCCCAACCACTCTGACTGTGGGGTTCTATCTAGTTAGCCTTGTATGACTTTCTCCTGCTATTCCTGATCAGACTTAGAGCCCCTGAACTTGTCCAGTGTTCCATCATCTACTAAATGGCTTTGTCCATTCTCTTTCCCCAGCTAGAAAACATGGTCCACCATAGAAACCTTCCCTTGGTCCTTTATCCTTTTCCAGATCTTGCCCATCAAGCCCTCACCTTAGCACCTCCATTGTTACCTTTGGAGGGCTGAGCTGTGGGGACCATCTCAGAGCTGAGTCCCCGATATGCCATACCCACATGGATCCCCCAATAGCTGAGTCTTGGGAGTGCCTGGCAGTCTTGACATAGGTGCCTGAACAGCGCCCATTCCTCGGAGATGTGATTTCCACATCAAAGTCTGTCAATCTGCAGTCCCCTATGTTCCCCTCTCCACCTCACACATAGCACATTGCCTTGGCTCCCGCTTTGTAAAGAAAACAGTCCTCAGACAGGAAATCTCTCAGATTCCTGCACGCCTACCCTTTTATATGTGTTTATGCCTGTCTCTTTCCTTGTGACGTGCCAAGGTGAATTGCTTACCAGGTTTCTGGATTTGCAAGATGCTCTGGCTGGGAAACCCTGACTCAGTGGTTTTGCTCCCTGCAGTGTTTTTCTTCCCCACTGACTCCTTTCTCTCAGCATTTAAACATGTTCAAACCTGTGTGTTTTGAAAAAACCTGTTGGTGTCCCTATTTTGTTTTTCCCCTTCCCTGGCCCCACTTTCTGGAGGAAGGAGTTGACCTCTGTTTTCCCTTGCTCGCCTCCCACTTACCCTTCACCCACTGCAGTCTGGATTCAGTGCCCACCCCTTCCCTGAACACATCGATCCTGTTCTAGTTGCCAACCATTGTGGACATTTTTTGGGGCCCTTTCTCATTGGGGACTTACTGTTGACTTTGTTCTTGAACAACTTCTTCCTTGATTTTCAAGACCTCTTGCTGCTTATTCTCCCATTTCGCCATCCTCCTCCAAGGCACTCTCTTCTCTGGCAAAACGGAAACCATTGCCATTCTCGCCTTATGCTCCTCGTACTAGATACCTGCCATTTGCTCTTTCTAGAACAACCCTCACACTCTTCTCTTTCTAGCTAACTCTTACTAATCTTTCAAGATATAACTCCTCTACGCTGTGCCTCCAGGAAGGACCCCTAGCTTCCAGACGAGATGAAATTTCCCTTTTCTGTATACCCATAGCATCCCATACAAACCTCTGCCCAGCACCACATGGCCGTGACTTTAATTTCCAGTTTCCTTGTCTTGTTCTGTCATACAGACACGTACACACAGCACCTGGCATAAAATGTTCAACCCAACTGATCATGGGGAGTTGAATCACAACACACAGAAGAGTCCGACCCTGTAGGGGGCCCTTTAAAATGGGCTACTAAAAGCATTCTCCTTTATGTTTGGCATGGCAAAGGGTCTGCCCCCTCCCTGACCACCTTTTCTCTTCCACTTGGACACTCTAGAAGATGCAGGATCTTGATAGTTTACAAATGCTTAAGAAAGGTGCCCTCCCGGGATGAATGTAGTGGGTGGACATATGAGAGCAGTCAGTGGGTGCCGATGGCAAGAATATGATATTAAAAACCTGCATAGGGGGTACCTGGGTGGCTCAGTGGGTTAAAGCCTCTGCCTTTGGCTTGGGTCATGGTCTCATGGTCTCAGGGTCCTGGGATCGAGTCCCACATTGGGCTCTTTGCTCAGCAGGGAGCTTGCTTCCTCTTCTCTCTCTGCCTGCCTACTTGGGATCTCTGTCTGTCGAATAAATAAATAAGATATTAAAAAAAAACCTACATAGACATGATCATCATCCCTAAGGTCAGGCAAGGTCAAGACCTTTGACCCTTAGGTCAAAACATGGGTTTTGAAAAGACTATTTCATGTATATCATGTATTTCCAGGGAGATTTAAGCTCCTTAAGATCAGGAGCCTTGTCTTACATTTCTTGTTACTCCTAGGCATCTGGAAAGTACTAGTTTTTCAAAGATGGTCCCCTGTGTGGGGATAGGAACCTTTAAAGCAGGTCTCAGGCCTCAGATGAGGCCACCTGCCCCCTTGAACCCAGGGGAACCCTTCACTTCCCTATCGTGGGCCCTATGTTTATTCAGTCCCTATGCCTATCTTACCCACTACTGCAGACCATGGCGATGTCTGTGTCACTCATTGCTGTGCCCCTGTGTGTCACAGAGTGCCTGGCACACAGAGGTGCTAAATAAATATTTATTAATGAACTAATTTATATATGTGACACACTTTATACACGTGACATAGACCATGGGTACATGAGCACTTTTGTGTACTGTGTCCATATATGGTTGTTGGGTTTATTGGTGAGAGGTATGAGGTCTCAGATGACTGGACCAGCTGATGATGAGTTCATTTAGAAAAACAGTTAGAAATCTCCTAGACTTAGACATTTTTCTTGACTAATTTATGGGTGTCTTAAATGACTGGAGAATACATAGAAACAGCCATGACACTGCATTTAGATATATCTGATACTGCTTCCTGTCAGTTCCTGGCCCCGGTCAGCTGCCTCCCCTCCCCCCCCACAAGGGAGACCCTCGTCAGGGCACCAGCACGAGCAACAGAATGGAACCCCCCCTCCATTTCAGAAAACACAAATGGACTCTTCCCATTTCTTCTTCATTTGGATCTTCCAAACTCCCTGGAGTTTACTAAAGGTGCTGTGTGTTCTCCACAAGCACCTATTTCCCTAGACCTTGAGTATCTGTGAAGGTATGTAACATTAGTGCTCAACTTTCTGATGGTAATTCCTGTTCTTGGGAACTTGCAATGTGAATTTGAGGGAACATAAATGTGTGCCTTTTCTGTCAGGTCTAGTAGCAAGAGTACCAGGCCCAAAAGAGTCACCATTTATGGACAACAGAAGGCTAGAAAGCGTCTGCGCTGTGATCACACACATTGAACCTTTCATCTTCACCAGCCTGGACAGCAACCACTCTTACCCCATTTTAGAGCCTCACCACGGCACACAAAGCCCCGCAGGATGCCATGCCAGCCTTTTTACATTCATCTCCCGTCACCCTCCTTTCCCTTTTCCAGGCTCCAACCACAGGGTTGCCCCTTGCCGGCCCTTGAGCCTTGCCAGGCATGCTCCTGCTTAGGGGATCTGCTGTCGCCTCCTCAGAGAAGCCTTCTGTGTCTACCTGATCTAAATAAGCAGCCCTTTTACTCTCTAGTCCCTTATCCTATTTTATTTGTCTCATGGGATTTATCATTCCCGATATTAGATTATACGTATATGTGTCTGTGTATGTGTATGCGTGTATGTGTGTATATATACACATATGTACATATATCCTGTATATATGAGGACTTGTCTGTCTTGTTTGCTCTTCTCTCGTTCACTGCTGTGCCCCAGCACCCACTGCACACAGGCGCTGGGTAAATGCTGATGACTGCTTCTATTTCAGAGGAGAGACTGAGCCACCAGCGAGTGCCACCATGCGTAGGTGCATGTCCCCTGGGGTTCTTGGGAGGGTAGGCTTGTTTGCCTGTGCTCCTATGGTTGCCCACCGCTGGGCCTGTATGTCACATCCTCATGCCAGTGCCTGGTCCCCACTCCAGGAATGACTGCTGTGCTCATCCCTTCCCATCCAGGTGGATGAGAGGCGCCAGCAGATCTCCCAGATTGTGGAGGAGGTGCAGAGGGTCGTCCACCACCTAACCACAGAAATCAGCCACCAAGACATTCGATTCCAGGCTGTCCCTTACTCTGACACGTACAATGGGAACATCAAGGTAAGCTGGTCTCACTTACTCTCTAAGCGCCACCCAGGGAGTCAGGTACATGGGTGGGCAGGTCTCAGTGCAGCAGGTATCACCCAGCCGAGGGTACCAGTGATCCTTCATGTTCTGCAGGTCCTTTTAGTATTTGCCACTTACACACACACTCCAGAGTTGCTGTGTCATGTGAGCCCCCCCTTCTGAGGCTCTGAGAAGTCAGATGACCTGATGTCCCGTTAGGCGCTACAGCCAGAACTCAGCCCGGGGCTTCGGACTCCAAACACGCTGTGCTGTAATGGCTGAGATTTAGTTAAGCACACATCCGTGTAGGCAGTGCCTGCCTAATAGAGGGGGACCTGGGGAGAGGAACTGGAGGCACCTGTGAGAAAAGGGTTGAAAGTAAGAGTCTGGGTTGCAGAGGTGGGGGAGGAGGCGGACCTTAGAAACTGCAGGGGTGGCCTCGCAACCCCTGTCCCCGCTGCAGACAGGACTCTAAGCCACCAGGGCCCATGTGTGATGGCAGCCTTCCTGCAGCACCGAACCATTCTCTCAGAAATGGCCTCCTCACACCTGCAAACAGCCTCGAGGAACAGACATGGCTCATTGCCTTTCAGAGATGAGGGAAGTGGGCTTCTGAGTCCTTTTCAGTCCCTGTGCTGCTTTATCTTGATTTTTCTTTATGGCTTATAAGAACCCCTTTTGCAGTATTAAATATATGTGTATTCATGCCCTATCTCTCACACAAGACTATAAGCTCCTTGATTGTAAAGATCATGTTTATTGATTGCTCCATTGCTAGCACCCAACATGGTGTGTGGCCCATGCAGACACTCAGCTTCAGTGAATGAATGAATGAATGAATGAGTAAAAGAAATAGGGCCTGAACTGAAGACCCTTGCTGGTCCAGAACATTCCAAGGTTGTTGGGCACAAGGATTACCCACAAGAATCTGGGACCTGTGTATTTGGGGACAGAGTACAGATTTTGGGAAATTTACCCCAGGATAAAAATTCTAATACTAGATTGGATCCCAACATAACATCGTTTGCCCACTTTTATCACCCTTCCAACCTGCAGTAGATCATTAGAGACCAGTGACTAGGAGTAGAAACACAACACCACTTTTTTTTTTTTTAAGATTTTATTTATTTGAGAGAAAGTATGAACAAGGGATTTGCAGAGATGGATTGAGAAGCAAACTCCTCTCTGAGCAGGGAGCCTGATGCAGGGCTTGACCCCAGGACCCCGGGGATCATGACCTGAGCTGAAGGCAGATGCTCAACCAACCGAGCCACCCAGGCACCCCACAACAACACTTTCCCTAGAATTATATCGGAGGAAATTTCCTTCTGTGGTCTCACTTAGAATTCTTAGGTTAAAATGGATCTTGCATTTATATACATCGTGTCCTGCATATTAAATTTTGAAAATAGTTGGAGTGGAGCATATGAAATTGATTTTATTTTATCTTGGAACAAATGCGGCGAGTATTAATTAAGCATCATTTATGTGACTATTAACACAATAGTGGTGTTCTCGAATTCTCGTGCAGGTGGGTTCAAAGTATGTATTGATTTTGAGTGCCAGAGTTTCGATGTGTTCCCTTTTGAAATCCCACCGCCTTTCTGTGGGCACCAGAAGTCACATGGATCCGTTATCTAAAGCATCACACTGTTGTTGTCTGAGAATGAGGCAGAGTTTGGTGTTCACCCATGAACTGGCTGACGACAGGGCCCTGAGCAAAGATTAACCAAATACTATGGTCAGAACTTTCTGCGAGAAGGAGGCGGCCCTTGAAGTGCACAGCTGACTGATGGGAAGAGGTGTGGTGTGGAGTAGGCTTCCACATGTTGTGGCCAGAGGTCAGGCTCCTTCTGGGGGTACCGCACTGCTGGGCAATCTGTTTGACCCTTTGGACTGTTGGACCTGACCACTTTGACCCCGACCTCTGCTTCACTGGTACTTGTAGAAATGGAATAGGTAGATTCTGATTGTTTGCTTTATTCTAAGTTTTATGAAACTTAGAATCATCTCAATAGCTCCCATGGTCTCAGCAATTGCCTTGCATCACCTGTGATTTTGTAAGGACCGATCATTAATACTGGCCGTGGGCCAAGCCCTGAACAAGCCATCAGAGGGCTTAGGCTTACATTCTGGCTCTCCCACTTAACAGGCTGTGTGTCCCCAGGGAGATGTCAGAGCCCCTCTCAGCCTTAGATTCCTCATCTGGGAAATGTTAATGAAGCCCACCTCATCGTGGAACTGGGAAGATCACCTTGTCTAATGCCTGGGCTTGCAGTGCTTAGTATGTGCAGAACTCACTGTATACTGTTTCCTTTCCCTGCTTTCTCTTCTCCCCCTTGGGTACCTCTTAGAGTTCCAGGTCAGAGGCACTCTTTTCCTTGAAAATTCCTTACACCAAGGACTCAGTGAATTAACTCATCTGTCTGAAGCACTACCGTGGTTAGTGGCAGGACAAAGATGGAACCCTCCTGCAGCGGGCAGGTGCAGCCCTCTGTCCATCTTGGCACATTGCTAAGCGTTGAGTGGTTCGTTGAGCTCCCCAGTTTGACAGGTTGGTGCCCTGGAGATTGCTGTTACCTCTGGAGTCCGTGAACTCACACTCCTGTCTCTTTTCTTGACCCCAGGTTTTGGCCCCCAGCCAGTTCCTGGTCACCATCCCAGTGAAGGGCCTGGCCGGGTACAGAGAGGCCAGGGAGCAACGCTGGCGTTACTACACGCTGCAGGGCACGAGACTGTCCTGCCCCTTGCAGGACCCGGAGGGCCTGCAGCAGTGGCTGGAGGTGGAGCAGTTTATGAAGAGCCTGTGGCAGTGGCATGAGGCGGATGTGAACATTGAGGGCGATATTGTGCCTGCCAAGGTCCTCCAGGTGTTCCGGAAGCTGGTAGAAAATGCAATTGGAACCTGTCATCTTTCAGGTGAGCTGATCAAGAACAGGACAAAGGGCAGTTTCTGGCATTTCCTTTTAGCTTTATAAAACCTCTGCTTAGGGACGCCTAGGTGACCCAGTCCGTTGAGCGTCTGACTCTTGGTTTTAGCTCGGGTCACGGTCCCAGGGTCCTGGAATTGAGCCCTGCATCAGGCTCCACGCTCAGCATGGAGTCTGCTTGGGATTCTCTCTCTCTCCATCTCTCTCTGCCCCTCACACTCATGCTGTTTCACGCTCTCGCTCTCGCTATAAAATAAATAAAATCTTTAAAAAAGTAAAAAACAAAAAACCTGTGCTTAAGTGTGACCTGAAACTCGTGCCCCTAAATTGAGACAATAACCTTGTGCTCCTTACATCTGTTCACTCCCCGAAATGTGAATTAGCTTTTTTTTCTGCTTTGACACCCAAGAGTAGGATGCTTGGATTTCCGTGGATCACTGCCCTGGCAGAGATACGATGACCTTTGGTTTGCACACCTTTTCCTGGATTGAATTTAAAACCTTGGGTACGCTTTATAAAAAGCAAATTGCAAGCCACAGATCATTGTTACTAGCACATTTCTATCTCACCCTCCAACTGACTGCGGTCCCCCAGTGTCTTAAGATGCCACATTCAGAAACCACTGACTTGTGCCAAAACACAAAAATGAGAGGCCGTGAAGAACTGATTAAATTTGACAGTCCGCAAATCTTAAACTGTATGCTACCATGTGGGCATGTGTGCACACACGCACACACACACGTTTTGTTCCCACAGAATAAAAAAAGTGTATTTCATGCTGGGAAAAGTGGTGAATTTCCTTAGTTATAAAAGAGTATTTGTAAACCAATAAGAAAACATACAAGTAGAGCAATAGAAATCACGACACTCCCCCCAAAAAAGACTCACAGAAAAAGAATATAAACAACTAGTAGTAAAAAAAAGTGGGAAAAAGGGGCACCTGGGGGGCTCAGTCAGTTAAGCATCTGCCATCAGCTCAGGTCATGATCTCGGGGTCCTGGGATCAAGCTCAGCAGGGACTCTGTTTCTCCTTCTCCCTCCGCCTCTGTCCCCAACTCATACTTCTCTCTCTCTCTCTCTCAATAAAATCTTAAACAAACAAAAAACAGGAAAAAATGCTCCACCTAATGTATATTTCAAGCAGTGTGCATTAAAACACCTAATAGATGGACAGAGATGAAATGTGGGATCATGCTCAGGGTAAGGGTGAGTGTGGTACAAAAGGCCTTTTCAAGCATTGTTCTTGGAAGTGTAAATCGGTGCCTACTTCTTAAAGGGCGATTAGTCTGTTTTTATTTTTATAATGTGCTTGACTTGACAGTTGAACAATTCCAGTTCTAGAAATAGATTCCTACAGATGAGAAGGAAATAGGCACAAGGGTGTCTACTTCCATAGGCTCTGTAATAGAAAGCAACTAGAAATAATGTCAGTAACAAAGGGAGATTGACAAAATAAATTGTACTATCTCTGCCTTTCGTCCACTGTCCAGCCTTTAAGAATGGGGTACATGTGTGTACACACTGAGTTGGGAAAAATCCATATGCTGGATAATGAAGGGAAAACCAAAGTGCTGAACAGGACGCAATTCCACATGTGTAGAAAGAAAAGGATTTGAATGTACTTTTACTTGTCTGGACAGAACTGTTCTGAAAGTTTCCGTGATGGAATTAACCCATGTCGAATGGATTCTTACCATGTATAGGATGCTTTTGTCATGTGCATAGCAACCCTGGAGAGTCAGAGTTATTTTTCTGCCTGTTTTACAGATGAGAACACTGAGGTTTAGAGATGAGCTAACATGCGGGAGGTCACGCACCAAGCAAGCAGAGCCAGGGCAGAAGTGAGGTGTGGACGGGGCAGGCTGGTTCCAGCATGTGCTGACCTCTTCACTTTGAAACAGTGGTAATAGTGAAAGTGCAAATGAGACCTTGCAAATGGGCCAGGTTGATGAGATGCTTTCAGTAAATAATGCCAGGGTGCCAGACGTCGTCCTGTTCCTGTCTGGGCAGCTCTGATGAGATGCAGACAATAACCTCTTTATCATACGCCAGCCCAAGGAGAAGAATGTTTTCCTTTTGAATAGCTTAACACGATTAATGAGTGAGCTTCCATTTTCTTCTCTGAGCAAACAAGAGAAAAATAATAGATCCTGATCGAGACAGCTTATCCTTATCTGTAATGAAGGCAAACAAAAAAACTACTGTGCATCTTTTGAAAGAAGGGGGGCGCGGATCAGCAATGAATTCTAGTACAGGAGCTGGAAAATGGTCCCAGATGCATTGATTTTTCTCTTCCTCTCGTTGCCTGGTTGGAAGAGGTAGTGGGAGCTTCTTCCCACTCCTTCGACCCTTTCAGCCAATGGCGATGACACACTTTGAAGCATTTTATAATTATAAGGGCTTGGGATGACAAATATATTGGAGGCCATACTAGCTTGATGGATGGTGAAAACAATGCTGAATGGTGGAAATGATGTCGTCCGAGAGACTGGGAGTCGGGTAGGGAACGGGTTAAGCAGAACTCCGCCAGGGGCAGATGGATGAGTTGGGTGGAATGCTGTCCCCAACAAGGTCAGGACATCTGGGCACAATGGAGGGGGCATAGAAGAATGGTTGGATTTCATTTTTACTAGCAAATAGTCCCTCTTTCCTTTGTCTTCTGTGTCTCTTTTCTTCAGTTGAGCCTTCTGAAAAGAATCTTATTACTTTCAAAGAAAAGGAGCCATAAAAGCCCTGGGGGCGGGGGAGAAAGGAAAAAGCAACAGTCACCCACCACGAGATTTGCTAGCAACGTTTCTATCTATATTCACTTAATTGTCTAGTTTAGCCATAAATACCCCAGCTTTGGAGTGCTACCAACCTGTGCCCAGCTGCCCCACCAGGCACAGGGAGCTGCTCCCTGCCCCTGCTCCCCAGTTCCTCCTTTGAACGTTCGCAGGGAGCCGGGCTTTCTCTTCTCATTGCCTCTTTGTCATTTCCCACCAGGTAAGGTCAGCATGCTAACACACCACTCTGCAGTTTGGGTTGCCGTGGAAACAGCTACAGGGCAGGTGGAGCTAGAGCTGGTCCCCACTGTGGAGATCCCTACTGCCTGGTCTGCGAAAGCTCGGTGGCCTCCCTGTCTGAGGCGCTGGCCTTCCCGACAGAGAGTGGAGTGCATCAAGGTATCGGGGAGCAGAGGGCCCAGCTCCCCAAAGCAGAGGCACTCACAGCTTACCCATCCGCAGCATCACTGACTGCCAGCCAACATTGGAAGGGAAAAATGAGCTTTCCCTCGAGCAGCGGTGCTCCAGGTGGGGGCCCCACAGTCCGCAACGGCCCCTGAGAGCCTGTTAGCAATGCAGATTCCTGGGCTCTGCTCCTATCCATGGGCAGGGCCGGGCGGTCTGGGTCTTAACAAGCTCTCCAGGTGCAGGCTTGGCTTGGAGAACCAGTGCCTGCGGGAACGTGGACACAGCCTCTCCCATTCCCTGTGCACAAGGAAGGGGTTTGCCCTGAGCCTGCCTCCACATCCCCATGTGGGAGGTTCTGCCTGCCTAGTGGCAGGTTCCCCCCACCACCCCACCCCAGAGTAGTGGATAGCTTCAGAGATGGCAAGCCTCCTCCCCCTCCTCATTTTCCTGGTGTTTTTCTCTTTTCCCAGTCCTTTGGGTTTGCCTTGTTGGCCTGTTCCCATTATCACTGGCAGCTGAGTTTCCTGCAGGCTGAGCAGGTGCTGCTGGAGCAGCTGGACGAGGACGGGGGCTGCCGCAGGAAGTGTCTCCGGGCCCTGAGGCAGATGAAGGAGGACGTCTGGTGTCCAGGAAGGAGGCCGGTCATCACGTCCCACCATTTGCAGGTTAGTGGGCTCACCCCGAGTGTGGGTACATCCTCTCTGGGGGCCCCACGCGCTGGCCAGAGCCACTCCCGGTGGGGGTGTATGTATGAGTCAGATTCGAGAGGGGGTGCTGGTGTCCTGATTGGCCATCCCATGTACTGCTGCCTGGTGAGATCGCGACCCCCCCGGGCCATCTGTGTGCCCACCACAGCCCTGCCCAAGCTGAATGGCCTCCTCCTTTCTTTGGCCCTCTTGTCCTTTTTCCTTCCTTTTGGTCGGCTCCTCTTTTTCTTCTCTATCTCTCCCCTCCACTTACTTCAGTCGCCAAACCAACACGAGTGCCCACTGTGTGCCAGAAACCACGCTGAGGTTCAGCGCCGTTTTCACCGTATGGCTCCTGCCCCTGAGAAGCCAACAGTCTGTGGACAGCTTGCAAATGGCTTGACTTGGGGGAATTCATGTTTTCCCTGGCATTAGGACTCCCTGGGTCTCCACTTCAGCCTCGTGAGGCCACGGCCACCAGGGGACACCAGGAAGTGGTGATTGCCATGGGGTCATGGCTGCGGACCGGAACTTCCGGGTTCCAGATCCTCAGGCAGGGATTTCCCCTTCCTCTGCAGCACTTGCCTCCTTCCCCAAACCCAACCATATACATTCATGACTGCCTTTACTGACTCATTCAGCAGATGTTTATTGAGGTTATTGTGGGCCAGACACCTGTTGTGTGCGCTACCCATGGAGGTCCCAGGTGAGCAAACATGGAAAGTGGTTCCTGCTCCCTTGGAGCCGACAGTCCAGTGGGGGAGACGGGCCGTCAGGTGGTCCCCCAGGTGCACATGGCATCACGCAGCATGGGAGCACCGGGGAAAACAGACCCAGAGCAGCAGACCCTGGCCCGGGCTGGGACATCACGCGGTATCCCTGGGGAGGGGGCATTCCATCACACCCTGAACTCCTCTTTTGCAAATTCCCAACGGTACATGGTGAACAGGCCATTCACGGAACATGCTGTGTGGCGCTCTGATGTTGGGAGGTGGCAGGTGGACTTAAGAGACAGCACAGCCCAAGCCTAGCTAGTGTGTGTCCGGGAGCTTCTCCCTGACCTTTTGCATAGGTGAGCACAGGCTGCCTATCTGTGCGGTGCCTTCCCGCTTGTGCCCCCTCTTGTTCAGGGGACCACCATCTTCTGACCCTGGATAACTCCTCCAGCTCCAGTGTAAGCTCTTGAAGAGCAACCCCTACTGCACCTTTAGTATCTCTCCCAGTGCTGTGTACACAGTAGTTGCTCAATAAATATTTGTTGAGCAAATGAATGGATGCTTTCACATCATATTCAGCTTTTTTCCCCCATGAAGGCAGTAGTCTCTGCTTTTCTTTCTCCTCTTTCCTAATATCCTGTCCTCTTTGACCTCTGCAAGATTTAGTTAATATATCATTTGCACACCCCGGGGCCTTTCGCTGGAGTTTTAACATTCTCAGTATGTGCCCACGCACATTCCCCTAAAAACACCCACCTGTTCTTGAGGGCATGTGCTTGCTGAGGATGGTCAAGTTCATTCGGCAGGTTTGGCTTCTTGCTCACTTGCCTTCCTACAAGCCACACTGGGAAGGGTCCGAGCTGAGAAGCAAGTCCCATTCTGTCTCATCTGGAACCTCGAGATCTTAACCAATGACTTCACTGCCTCACAGTTAGATGGATGGAAACATATTAAGTGACATGAACATTTTAGACAAGATTGAATAGGGCCACAATTTGCCTCCCATCCCTTGACTGCTGTCCAAACTGCACTACACGCAAGGATGTATTTTTATTCCAGTGGCTTCTCATCGCTAGAGGATTTTAGGGCAACTCCTTAAATGTGCTTTGTTTCAGTTCTCCCTAACTCAGTGACAGAGTGCAGAATCATGCATTCTCAAGAAGGGGCAGTTGAAGGGGGGTGGGTACTCATGGAGAAGGGCAGGACGGACAGAAGTAGTACTAGCTGCCTGTTCTTCTAGTGTTCCATCCTTGGTCCAGGATGTCCTCACCTTTAGACATAATGATGGATGTGGCTGGTGACCATGTGCTGTTAGACACCATCCCGGATGATGGCTTGAGTGGGCAGGATCCTTGCCAAGACTTCAGTCTGGGAAAGTAGAAGAGCTGGGTTGCAAAACAGCCTCAGGAAGGGTGTAGGAGTCGTCGTCACCCCATCTTCAGTCTGACACGGTCTGAGGAGGTTCTCGCCTCCTCCCCAAAGCAGCTCTCCCCCAAAGCAACTTCGTGTGAAGAAGAGCTCATCCTTCATTGGCTTGCTTCTTCCTAAAACCCACTCAAAGGCACAGGGGTTTGATGCTAAGAAGCTTAACCACTTCGGGTTTGCTTAGGCAGATAAAAGCTTAACTGCAAGAGGGATTAAAGCAGGGGTGTCTAGGTTATCTTGATAGCATGACTTTATCGCCAGCTCATTCACGTTGCACAATGTAATCTAAATCAAAACACACTCAGTGGGTGCCTGGGTGGCTCAGTGGGTTAAAGCCTCTGCCTTCGGCTCAGGTCTTGATCCCAGGGTCCTGGGATCAAGCCCCACATCCGGCTCTCTGCTCAGTGGTGAGCCTGCTTCCTCCTCTCTCTCTGCCTACTTGTGATCTCTCTCTCTCTGTCAAATAAATAAAATTTTTAAACACACACACACACACACACTCAGGATCTTGCTGTGAAGTTCCAACTGCTGTTTTCCTTTCTCATAGAGGCTCTCTTTAAAAAATGCTCAATATCCAGATCATAATATTAATGAATTCCCTTAGTCAATAAACATTTTTGACTGCCTGCCATGGGCCAGCTCCTCTGCTGGGTGCTGTGTGACATCAGAGCCATGAAATAGGTATTGGCCTCTTCGTGCACAGAGCTTACAGCCTTGTAGGGGATCGCATACATAAATAACAGAGATGACGGCAACCATGGTCACGGGCATTCTGAGAAGTACGTGGTGAAGAGAGTGTCGAACGGTCTCGTAGGGGCATATGATCTGATGGACGAGTGTCCTGGACAAATTGGGGAAGGAAGTGTGTTCCAAGCAGAAGAAGTCTGATGTGCAAGAAGTCCCTCCGGGGTAGCAGAGAGCGATGTGAGGCCAGTGGGGCTGGAAGGAGAGAGTGAGGGGAGGCCGAGGGCTGGCAGAGGCTGGAAAGGAAGGTAGGGCCCCACCCTTGTAAGCCAAAACCCTCTGAAGAATTGTGGTTTTTCATTAACCAGCCAGGAGAAGGCCTGAAAGTCTTTCAGACAAGAAGAACCATGGATTTGTATTTCAAAAAAGATCATGTTGTACAGCATGGGTGGTGACAGGATGGGGACAAGAATGGGGACAGAGGTCCGGGTGAGGTGGAAGAGGAGGATGACCGTGGAGATGAACATAACAGGGGGAAATGGAAGAACCCCTTTGGAGGACTGGGGGGCTTGGTGACGCTGGTGAGGGAGGGTGACTCCGGGCTTGTGTTTTGCATGACTGGCTAGACTGCAGCTCTGGGGATGTGGGAAAGCCTGGAGTTCAGTTGGGACAGGCTGATGGAGATAACCTTCAGATTTCCAAGAGATAACAGGTGAGGAAGAGGTCAGAGGAGAAGTATGGCTTGGAGAAAGAAAACTACGAGTGACTTCCGTGTGTTTGGTGGGGATTCAGGCCACTGAGGAAGGAAGCAAGAGAGAACAAGAGAAAGAGGGTGTGGAAGCAATCCTCCAAAACTCCAGACGGAGGCAGGTAAGGGGCTAACATGCCAAGGCATAGCTGTAGTGCCTGGAGAAATCCAGGGAGCGTGGTGGCTCGGAAGCCAGTGAAGAAGGACTCAAGCAGGGCTGTGAGTGGGAGAATCTATTCCGCTGAAAGGTCAGGTAGGGCCAGGGCGGGGCAAGACCTGATGGACTTAGCAGCACGGAGATCATTGGACCTCACAGAGAGCAGCTTCTCAGGCCTGATGGCAGAAGAGTCCGTATGGCAGTGGATTGAGATGGGAATCAGAGGAGGGGAAATGACAACTGATAATTGAGCTGATTCTTTCAAGAAGCCTGCACTTGCAGAGGGATGAGAGGTTAGGAGGGAGCTGGGCCCTGCGACAGGGGGTGGGGCAGGAGAGCTGAGAGCAGTTTCGAGAGCCTGTGAGAAAGAGGGAAGTCGGTCACAGCTCCTAGAAGGAGGGACCCCAAGCCTTGCCTGGGGTTCACCCGGCTAGGTGGGACGGTCAAGCGGAGAAGAGAGGAAGAGGGTGCTGAAGGCAGAGATGGCTAGAACTGTCTGGTTTGCTAGCATGAGGGTTTCCATTTTCCCTGTAAAGTAGGAGGCAAAGCCATCTCCCCAGGGTTGGGGGGATTGCAGATTTAAGGAGAGTGTTGGTCACCGGAAATGTCAGTGGCGAGAGAAACAATAAGAAAGGCACAGGAGACTGGCCAGACGAGGCCGAGAGCGCACCTGAAGGGGAGCTGTGAAGTCACAGCAGATTCTCCTTGCCCTGGGTGAGACCCCCTTCTCCCTTCTTCCAAGGCCATGTGAGCGGGGTAACGTTCCTGAAGATACTCTCCTCTGTGGCCCGGAACCATGTCTGACAGCACCTCTTCCTTCCCCAGACAGTGCTCTTTTGGACTTGTGAGAAGTACCCGCACCCGAAGGACTGGCGGGTCTTCAGCAAAGCCTTCCTGCGCCTGGTGAGGAAGCTGCACAAGTGTGTAAGCCAGCACTTTCTGAAGCACTATTTCGTGCGAAAGAGCAACCTCCTTCGGTCTGCCAACTCAGGCGACCTGGACGCTGTGGCCCAGAGGTTGGCCCTCTTTCTGAAGAACCCCCAGATCAGCCCGCCCTGAAGCTGCCCCTGCCTGGGAGGCCCTTGGACACTTGATCCTGGCTTGACCTCATTCTCCGTGGGCAGAAGCACCCTACAGCGTAGAAGAGTGCAAGGACCCAGGAGCGCCAAAGAGGGGATCACTGTACCCCAAGATGGCTGACCCAGGCCTCCGTGGAGCCAGGATTTCGGCCCTCACTAGCTACCTCCCTTGGGGACAGCTGTCCGCAGGCTTCCCCGAGCCACTGATTCTGAGCTGATGACAGACTGCACTGAATGGGTTCTGCCTTGCTTGGGCTCCAGTTATCTATGGAAGAGAACAGTGACAGGACCCGTTGGAAAGCCAGGCATCAGCCTGTGGCCCAAGAGTGGGTCTCTAGCCCACTGGCAACGGTTCTTCTTGTTCCATTTGTAAAATGCAGCTGTGAAAATGCCTTTGTCAGAGCAGGGCTGTGAGCCTGGGAGACCTGGGGTCCCCTTAGGAGAAAGACAGTGGAGCAACACAAAGTGTTATTCTTTGGTTGGTAGCCAGTGTTTGCCTCTGGCTGGATGGGTCCCAACACCACTCATTGAATGACTGCATCTGATGGCTTGGTGCGCCTGCTGCCCTCCTGTTCTCCTGAACTGTGTTTCGGGGCCTGTGGTTCTGTCTGCCTCTGGGCTGTCCTGCAAGTAGGGAGAAGGTGGTTTTGACAAGTAGTGTGGGTCAAAGATGAAAGTGCAGCTCTGTTTGCCAGGGCTCCCGTTGCCTTGCGCCCCAAGCCAGGTGTTTTGGGAATGCACTCAGAACAATGACCTACATGGAAGGATTTGGTGTCATCTCTCCACACCTGCCTTTGCTCACTTCATTCACTGGGCGATAAATACGTGCTCATCAGGCACCGGGAGTATCACCAAGAATGAAACGGTCGGAGGTCAGACCTGTTGGAGCTCAGCGCCTAATGGAGACAAGAAGTGAAGGACAAATACACAGACACAATTATTGCAAATTGTAGCAAGTTGCCCTGAAGGAAACAAACAGAATATTGAAATAGAGCCACAGAAAGCTCCTGGAAGGATGAAAATGCAAACAGCTAAAGGGGAAGGGAAGCGTGGCCAGGGCAGGCTGGGCAGGGCTGGAAGAAGATCACGTGACATCGCAAAGCTGGTCAGGAATTTGTTATTAAAGTCCTGACCTTTGGCCTCTCCCAGAGCAGTAGGGTATTTTAATCTGATTTGCATTTTGTTTATTTGTTTATGACTTGAATTTGAAATGCCCATTCTGGGGACAGCATAAAGGGGGCCGAGGGACCCGCATGAGAGTCGATGCACCAAAGGACAGTAAGCCCCCATTCTGAATTTCACTGTCGTCCACAGGGCCACACATCCAGTGCAGCACATGGGCAGGAACTCTGGGGGCTTGAGCAGGTCATTGCTTTCTCCCTGCACTTACTTATGCTTCTCAACTCAAGGGAATCCTTTATCCCTTAGAACATGTTTCCCAAGTATGGAACACTGAAATTTCTAAAAGCATGAACTACTGACTTTTTGAAATTGAATTTTTTTTTTTTTTTACAAAAGTACTGTAACCATATGCTGGGGGCATAGGAAATCATGGTTTTAAAATGCTGAGAAAAAAAAATCCTTTCAAACGTACAATAAGTTTATAATTTTTGAAAACATGAAACAATGAGCAAACCAATGTTATCAGTATATGCATTCAAAGTCTCATATTCTGGGGCCTTGGGAAACGTCATTTTTGAGAAGGTAGCAGTTCATTTTTTTAATGATGAAAACAACGGAAGCAAGGTTGTTTTGTTACTGTTGTTGTTGTTAGGGGAAATGGGACAGAGGGAGAGGGGGAGAGACTCTTAAGCAGACTCCATTCCCAGCCCAGAGCCCAACATGGGGCTTGATCTCATTACCCTGAGATCTTGATCCGAGCTGAAATGAATAATACTCTTAACGGACTGAGTTCCCTAGGCGCCCAATGCAAGTTTAGGAAATAGCTGTACAGTCGCAAATGCCAAGAAATGAAAGTTGTCTGGACCATTGATTGGAAATATGTGTATGTGTATGGAGATGAGTGGAACTGGCATCCTCCACAGACCAGATTCTGGTAGATTCTTGCCCCTACCTTTCCCTATCCACCAGTGGTCTTTGAAGGAAGCAGGATTCCTGGAATCTGTGGGTTCCTGGGTGTTCCTCTGCTGGACAGCAGAGGGCAATGGAGGACAGCCTACAGAAAGAGCGTCTTTCCCACCCATACCCCTCAGGGCCCAGTAGGTGGCGCCCTCCTCAGCCCATAAACTTAAATTTGGCTTCTGGGAGAAGGGTTTCAGTTGATGCTCAATGACTGACCTTTCTGGCCACCTTGGCTAGCAATTACAGGCTTGGTGCTTAAAGTTCAGACTTTAAAATGGAGCCCACGAGAGAGGAGTCCATCCACTCTGTTTGCAGGGACAGAGTGTCTGGCTCTGAAAAGTCTGATATTAACTCCTTTGTTCTAGGCAGTATTTGTTTATTTATTTTTTAAATTCTCCAAAAGACCTTTTGTTTTCATGTCCAGTCTGGGCACAGGTGGACTGGTTGGTAGTCAGCCGCTGTCGTTGACCTGCTTGCCTTTGCATCTCAGCTCTGACATAACTGTGTGCCCTTGGCAAGTTCACCCCTCTCTATGTCTCCATTTCTTCATGCGTATGGTTAGGGGCTGAATTCTGTTCCCCCTCCTCCCGCCAAAATTTGTATATGGAGGCCCTTACCGCCAGCACCTCAGAATCTGACTCTGTTTGGAGATGGGGCCTTTAAAGAGGTGACTAGATTAGAATGAGGCCGTTATGGTGGGCCCCAATCCACCAGGACTGACATTCCTGTGGAGAAGGGGTGGAGGCACCTGTGGGCAGGGGTGCAGGGAGGAAGGGCCCTCCGGCCAGCTGAGGAGTGAGGCCTCAGGAGAAGCCAGTACTGCCAACACCCTCATCTTGGGTTTCCTTTTTCCAGAACCATGAGGAAATAACGTTCTGTTGTGTAAGCCATGTGGTCTGTGATATTTTGGGATAGTGACCCTGGGCAACAAATCTGGGCCTGAGGAGAGAGGAGCTACCTCAGGGCTCTGAGGAGGGGAATAAGCAGAATAATGGATGCCAGAAGCTCCTCATTTCGTAACCTGGCACGTAGTAAGCGTGGCATACATGCTTCGCATTTTAGACACCAACTCGTCACGGCCATTACCTCTCAGCCAGTCCTGATGATGACCCCCATCCCATGTGTAAATTCTTCATGAACAGATTAGAAACCATCAAAGGAAAACATGGGCAGAATTCCACCACGAATTCCACAAACCCATCTTGTCCTTTGTCCCTCTTGCTTACCAGAAGAAGTATCTCTCAACTTCTCATGTGTTGGAGCCATGTCGCCCAGTGTCTCAGGGACGGTTTTCCATTCAGTGCCTGTCATGTCCTCCATTTCCTCTTGCAAGTGTCGCCCCTTCTTTCCCCCTTTCACTGTCCAGCTTCCTGAGCTGTTGGCCACATGGCCCCACTTCCTTGCCTCCACACACCTTTTTTTAGTGAAAGATATACATGTGAGAGTTGAAAATATTTAAAAAACAATAAAACAGACACCAATATATTCACCATCTAGCTGAAAAATTAGCATTTGGCCAGGACTTTAGAATTCTAGGTGCTGTTCCATCCCCTAGCCCCCTCCCTCCCAGATTTTATGTTAGTCATTCTGCTGCTTTGCTTTATAGTTCAACTACCTATCATATTTCATTGGACCTAAGCCCCCCCACAATTGTGAGGCACATCTTTGTTTCGTGTCTAAGGTCATCACAAGACACCACTGCTTATAAGATGCATCCTCCCCCCTTTTAGGGAGATAAGAAAGTGAAAAGTGAATTTTGGAATCAACAAAACAGGACTTGCGTGCATCTGAATGTCTTTTTAGTTGCTCGGGTTTTTTTAGCTTTATGTAAATGGAATCCTATTGTACAAAGTCTTCGTGACTGGTGACTGGCTGTTGGACACAGTGTGCTTCTGAGATTCTCCCATGTGGGTACAGGTGGCAGTGGTGTGTTCCTTTTCACTGCTGTGGAATGTTCCACAGTGAGCTTATGCCACTGTACATGTTTACATTACTGTAACTAGGCATCTGGGTGGTTTCTAGTTTCAGTGTTTTGAACCTTTTTTTGCACATTCTTATGTGTATCTGATGCACTCTGGTCTTATAAGGGTATATACATAAGAGTGAACTCTCAAGTTCAAACAAAGATGTGTATATACATATATATATTCAAGTACAAAGATGTATATATAAATTTAAATATATATATATCACATATGTCACATATAACATGTAATATATAATACATGACATATAAAATTACACATATATTTTATATTTTATATAATAAATACATGTAAAATATAAATATATTATAAATATTATATATAATATATATTATAAATGTTTATATATTATAAATATAAACATTATGTATTATAGATTTATATTTATATTTGAACATTTATATTTCATATCTCTAAATATAAAATATATAATATATATAATGATATATATTTAAATTAGTGAGGTAATGTCAGCATATTTTCTGAAGTAGTAGCACCAGTCTAAATTCTCCCTTTTAATGTCAGTGAATTTTCAGTGACTTTCTCCATTATAATAGAATGCATTTTGTATCTTGGGTAAAAAAATCCCATTCTTTAAGGTCATGGAGGTATGCTGCTATGTGGTTCTCTCTAATTTTACTGCTCTGCCTTTCACCAGAGTTAGGAAATACTCTCTCTTTTTTTTCTATTCAATTCTAATAAAATTAGAGTAATCTCTTGCTTGGAAGTTTGGTAAACTCCCCTAAAAGGCTGACTGGGCCTTGTGTTTTCTTTGTTGGAAGAATTTAAGCTATTTATTTCCTTTTAGGGATATGTGATCTTCAGATTTTCGACTACTTCTTGAGCTTCTTGTTAATTTGTATTTTACCAGGATTTCATCTGTTTCATCTAAGTGTTCAAATTTACTGGCAAAAAATTTGTTCATAATACTATGTTTAAATTCTGGTGCGTTTGTACTCCTCTCTCGATGAGGCTTATCAAATAATTCTTGTTTGCTTTTTCATCTTTCATGTTTTTCATTAATTTCTGCTCCTATCTTTCCCTCTACTTCTTCAGCTTTATTCTGGTATTCTTTTTTTTAAATAACTTCTTAAATGCTTAGCTCAAAACTCCTTAGCATTTCTTCGTTTCTAAGTATATGAATTCTCTTTTAATACAATTTTAGTGGCATTCCACGGGTTTTGGTAAATGGCATTTTCATCTCATTTAGTTGTATTTATTTTCAGATTTCTACCATGATTTTCTTGTTGACCTGTGAGGTACTTAGAAGTTTTAAAAAAAGTATTATTTTCAAACATACTGGGCTTCCTAGTATGTTTTCATTACTGATTTATAAACAGATTACATTATAGTCAAAGACAATGTCTTGGGCCCCCTAGGTGGCCGATTGGGTTAAAAGTCAGACTCTCCATTATATGTTAATAAAAATAATTTAAAAACAGTAAGTCAGACTCAATTTTGGCCATGATTTCAGGGTTGTAAGATAGAGCCCAGGGGAGTTAGGCTCTGCACTCTGTGGGGAGTCTGCTCTTCTCTCTCCCTCTGCCCCTCCCCTACTCTCACATGCGCTCACGCTCACTTGCTCTCTCTCTCTCTCTCTCTCTCAAACAAATAAATAAATTTTAAAAATCTTAAAAGAAAAGGACAGTGGTTTGAAGGCCCCAATCCTGGGATTCCCGTGGAGGCCGGCTTCTTGCCCAGCGCTGTTGCATTTGTCCGTGCATACAAGGGGGAACGTGCATACAATGTGCACGGAACGTTAGACCATGAGCTGCTCAAAGTTTGTGTGTATTTTCAGGTTTCTTTCGGGCTGCATTTTCCAACATTTACCAGGAGAGTTGTTTTAAAATTTCCCATTACGAGTGTGGATTTTTGTATTTCTCCTTAGAGTGCTGACAACGTGTGCTTACACACTTTCAGACTGTATTATTAGGGACACACAGGATTAGAATGTTTGTATCTTCCCGCTAACCTGAAGAGTTCATCATCGTAAGGTCACTTTTCCTTAACTATGGTAAACATTTTGCGTAAACATTGGTTTTGTCTGATACTAATATCAGGACACCACCACTTTTATTTGCCCTAGAATATCATTTCCATCCATTAGCTTTCAACCTCTTTGTGTCTCTTATAAATGGCTGATTTAAAAAAAAAAAAAAATCCCATCTGACAACTGGGGTCTTCTGACTCTAATGTTTCATCCATTTACATCTATTCTGATGATGAATGCATTTGGATTTATTGCTACTCTTGTATTTTCTATGTGACCCATTTTCTAAACCAGATTCTTCTGTCTTTCACACCACCATCTTGTCTTTTTAAATATATATTTAAGGGTTTTTTTTTTTCTTTTGCTACTTCTTTTTCCTTCTTACTAGTGTGTAAGGTCCATACGCTAACTCTCTGTCCTTTTAATGGTTACCAAGGCTATTTGTACACATAG